ATTTGTTGATGTTAGTTTGAACAGGTTGATAGAAATTGAATATATTTAGTCTTTTATAGTAAGAGATGACATGAGTGTATTCCTGCTTTCAGTTATTTGAATTGATTTTTTATTTTAGTGCCTATGTCTTTCTCCTCCTGCATAATATAAATCGAAATAAAGATAGACTTGTTCTGTCATAATGTTTTGATGTTAACAAATAAATAAAGGGGAAATTGAGTTTAAACTGCTTTTAAATAATGATTTTATCAGCTGACAAAAAAGTTTTTTTCTCATGCGTTGAGTGAATAAGTCAAGTTTAAGCTGCTCTTGACCAGGTTTGGCTGGAAACAGGATGGAGCGGATCTGTTAAAGAGTTGTTTCAAGAGATGGAATTATAAAATGAGGCGCAGCTCATTGTTAACTTGCAGCATGCCTTCTTTGGAGAGGCTGCAGCTTTATTTGATCAGTCTTCAGGATGGTGTTCGGTAGTTAGAGCAACGTTAATTTGGATCTTGTCAGGAAAGAAAGTAACAAACATTTTTGCACTATAAGAGAGAGATGTGTCGGGTCATGTCAGTGCGAGAGGATGTTGGAGAAAATGGAATTTAAATAGAGTTGCTCAGCCAGTTTCTGCTTAGCCAGACATGTCTATTCATTGTCTGTGAAGGCAAACTGATTATTAAGTTTCAGTTGTTGTTGAGCAAAGGAAAAGGGAGCGGCTGCTTAAACAAGGCCTCAGATTAATTTACATTACAAATCTGCACTTTCCAGCTGCTTGGCAGGAGGAGTAGACTTCTGTAAGTATTTGCCATCAGGTCAAAGTCTCTTTTATCGGGGGAGGGGAGTAGGATTAGTGATTATTCTGTCAAACCTCATCACCAATAGCATCTTGAACTCTGTGGGAGGACAGCTGCTCTGTGAGAAGGGTCAAGTCAGGTGAAGACTCCTCCATTAGGATCATGTTTGAAGATCTTCTCCAGTCCTCTGCTTCAGCCCCTCTGTTTGGGGCCATTGTGCTTCTGCTACTCTACCTTCTGACCTCCAGCCTGAGCTCCCATACAAAGCGGAGGGAGCCTCCAGGACCTAAACCTCTCCCCCTGCTTGGTAACCTGCTCCAGGTGGATCTCAAGAGGCTCGACAGCTCTCTTTTTCATGTGAGAAATGTCTTATATCTGATTCTTTCCAGAAGATAGGGATATTTATTTCTTCTGGCTGTAATATTACTTCTTATCTAATGCTGTGAGTATCATTTTTTTTGCCTGCCTTGATGTTTTAGCTGTCCAAACAGTATGGACCAGTGTTCACAGTCTACTTAGGGCTGAAGAAGGTGGTGGTCCTGGCAGGATACAGGACAGTCAAACAGGCGCTGGTCAACCATGCTGACGAGTTTGGAGACAGAGAGGTCACCCCTATATTCTATGATTTCGACAAAGAAAATGGTGAGAGAGAAACGTTTTGACTTGTCTTTGTCTAGTTTCACATAACAACTGTATTTATTTTTAGCACTTATCTAAACAAGCTCACCAAGTCCTTCACAAAATACATGGCAAATGTTGCAATGTTAAAGGAAGCAAAAATGATTCTTGGATCTGTCCTCTGATCTGGATCTGCACCAAAATCTAGCTTTGGTTTAGTCCCTCACACATACTGCATCCTTCCACCAGGTGTCGTGGTGATCTGTCCAGGAGTTGATGCATAATCTTACAAACCAACGACAGAGGGTAGAACATTGATGGTGCCTGTAATCTGAGCAAACATTTTTCCTCTGGGTCAAACCTTTCTCATTTCTTTTCTTTTACAGGCATATTATTTTCCAACGGTGACTCATGGAAAGAGATGAGGCGCTTTGCTATGTCCACCCTAAAAGACTTTGGGATGGGGAAGAGGATTACTGAAGGACAAATCATTGAGGAATGTTACTTCCTGATTGAAGAATTCAAACAGCACAAAGGTACATGCACATCTGTACGGAGCCCCCTCAGGGTCAGGTGGGAGGAAAAAAAAGTAATTGTGCCCTTTCACATGCACTTGGCCGGTGGCCCACACCCAGAAGTAAATGTATTTAGACAGAAATGAACCAAATACAATTATACAACTTCTATTGAATGCTCACATGGACTTATGGTCTAACATGAGCATTGTACGAGTAAAATATGATCATTTGATTAAATTATGTTTCACATTTTTATTGTTTTTTGTCTCAGGAAGCTGGAGGGGGCGGCACCCCAGCTCCCCGTAATGACCAGCCGCCACTGGTCCAATACTATAATCAGTCTATGGTCCAATATTATTGTGTCAGGGCTACATTTTCTTCTTCAGTTTGCTGCAGTCGCTCTAATAATTCACACGTTGTGTCTGACTCTTCTCTCAGACAAAGCCTTCAACAACAGCCGGACACTTGCTTATGCAGCTTCAAATATCATATCATCTCTGGTGTTTGGGAAGAGGTTTGAATACAGCGACCCTGAACTCTACACTTTCGTGGATCGAGACCGTGAGACCATCTATCTCACAGGATCGATGTCCATCCTGGTACTGCTACTCAAGGATTTTGCCTTTATTTTAACATCCCTGTGGATATTTAAGACTTGTTAACACATAGCTTAAATGCATATACTGTTTTCCCTTTTTCAAAATAACAACATTTAAAGTTTCTAAGAATTTCTATTAAAGAACTTACATCCATGTTATTTTTGTGGTTGTTGAATATACAGTGAAGAGTTTGAGTCCACAAAACACTTTTGGAGTTTCAGGGATAAACAGTGTTGCAGCCAAATCCAATACAATTGAAGTCAATGGTGAGTCCTTCTTCAGATGTAAAAAAACAACAGGAAAAAACATTAAATCCCTCCATACTACTCGTGTGGTGTCATTCAAGTGTCTGCAAGCCCCGACATGCATTTGAAATGAAACGGCGTCATTGACACCATGTTTTTAGTCTGAATGTCTTCTAGCATCACTACTTCCTGTAGTGGAATGTCATTACTCTCATGACTGTTGTGTTAAGTTATGTTTTTATTGTTGCAGATATACAATGCATTTCCTTGGCTGGGCCCTTATCTTAAAAACTGGCGAGCTCTGATGAAGAATAGAGAAATCAATGTGAAGAACATGAGGAGGATAATAGCAGAGATGAAGGAGATGCTCAACCCTGAGATGTGCAGATGCTTTATTGATGCATTTCTGAGCCGCAAGCAAAATCTGGAGGTGAGGTGCACTATTCTTCTGAACCCACTTCTAAGGTGATAATACTGATTAATCATTGAGTGATCAATCCCTCTATAGGAGTCTGGAATTAAGGATTCACACTACCATGATGACAACCTGCTTTTCAGTGTGACAAATTTGTTTGCTGCTGGGACAGACACCACGGCAACGACACTTCAGTGGAGCCTGCTCTTAATGGCCAAGTACCCTCATGTTCAAGGTGAACAATACATCCACAGGCTTGTCTCAGTTTAGTGTAAAATCAGGATTAAAGTAGCGTCACACATTTGTCAAATTTTAATTTCAATTTCGTGTGTATTCAGACAAAGTCCAGGAGGAGCTGAGCAGGGTGATTGGAAGCCATCAGGTTCGAGTGGAGGACAGGAAGAACCTGCCGTACACCAACGCCGTCATCTATGGCCATATACAGTTTTTTCTAACATTTGAATCAGTATTGTAGACAAAAAAAAAAGCAAAAAGGAAGCTCTCAAAGGAAGCTATGGTGTGTCACAGTGTTGTTGATAATATATAAGGCAAACAGCACCTTATATGTACAGGTCATCTCATTATTCAGGCAACATCCACATCCTACAGTTATCCGACAGACACAGGTCATCTGTGTGCAACTTCATTTTGTGTTATTTCAGCTCTCAGAGAAATACGGCTCAGTGTTCACCGTTTACTTTGGACCCAATAAAGTGGTGGTGCTGGCAGGATACAAGGCGGTCAGAGAGGCTCTGGTCAACTTCTCAGAGGAGTTTGGAGACCGACACATCTCTCCTATTTTTTATGAGATTAATCATGGTCATGGTAAGATCAACACGTTGTAATATTTTTCATCATAGGCACAAAAGTAAAATTGCTAGAAATTATGGATGACCGTATGTTTGTTTTAATTTAAAAGGAATCATTTTTTCAAACGGAGAGTCGTGGAAAGAGATGAGACGTTTCGCCCTCTCCACCCTCAGAGACTTCGGGATGGGCAAGAGAGTAATTGAGGATAAAATCGTGGAGTGTCGGTTCCTGATCCAGATGTTTGAGGAGCACAAAGGTATTGAGTTGATGTAAAACCTGACAAAATGTTCTCATGTGCAAAAACAACAAGTGGTGTAGATTATTTTTACTTCCTGTCTTTGGTAGGGAAACCATTAAATACAACAAATCCATTATATTATGCGACGTCCAACATCATCTCCTCCATCGTGTTCGGGAGCAGATTTGAATATAATGACCCTCGGTTTCAARACTTGGTGAGAAGAACGGGTGAAAGCATACAATACTCAGGCACCGCTTCAATCCAGGTAAACCTCGTGCTTGTTGTTTAAATCAGTTCTGTTTAAAGGGAATGTG